GCATTTCTCCACGCCACCTCAGGAGGGACTTGACCATCCCATCCGCGCAGGGCGGGGAGGGACCTAGTGGGAGCCAGCCTTGCTGTCGTTGCCACGGCCCCATGTGCCTCACATGGTGAGGGATGGGGCATCATCCCAAGGGTCAGAGGAGGGCCCGTCAGCATGGCCTGGGCTCAACCAGGGAGCTCAGAGGTCTGTCCATCAGGGGCCAGGTGGACACCTTCCCATGGGCCAGGTATCCTCTGTGTGAGCTCATTCTCACCTGCTGGGGTAGGGGTCTAAGGTCCTGTGATGACTTGGGGAGCAGCAGGGGCAAGCACCTTGCAGTCAGATAGACCTGGTTGTGAATTACTCAAGTCTTTGTCCCAGGAGCCAGAGATGCCCAGTCTGTCCACGGGAACCACAGCCTTGGCACAGGACATTAGACAAGATAAGGTTCTGAAAGTATTGGCTTCCCGTGTGCCCCGCACATCTGCTGCAGTTTGTATCTCACACACTCCAGGTGCAGGAACTCCTGGGGCAGCCCAGAGCCTGTCCTGGGAGGTGTGCTCAGGTCATGCTCCTCCCTTCTTGTGGCTGTTGTTTCTCCAAGTTGTTCCTCCAGGTGAGTCCCCTCCAGCAACGGGGAGCCATGGTGTGGTCAAATTGGGCTGGGTGGCAGTCCCATCCCCACTACTCTCTGACTCATGCAGCACATGGTAAAATAGTACATAGAGCACACGGCAGAATATCCTGACTGTGCAAAGAGCATACATGCAGTGAGGGGAGTTTCTGCACTGGACCAATCCCTCCCCACCCCCTACTGCTGAGACAGTCACTGCCCCCTGGGTCTTGGGTGCCCTCCCAGAAATAGTATGCATCTCTGTACCCCACCCTGCATAATTTACTCATGTGCTGCAAGATGTTTTTTCCCCTCAACACATCTTGGATGTGTAACTTGTTTTCCAAAAGAGCACAAGCTCCATCTCCTTCCCTGTGGAGGGCCACCTGCCCATGGCCCAGCTGCCGTGTGGCTGCACCACCACTCATCTGGTCTGGTTCCTGCTAAGCAGCAGGCTGTCCCCAGTCTTCAGCTGCCACAAACAGTGCTAAGCAACTATCCTCATATGTGTGTGCACATGCATCCCTGCAGATATCTGTTGCATACATTCCTAGAAGTGCAACAGCTCTGGCCAACAGATGTGTACATTTTTAATGCTGAGTGACTGCCAAATTGCCTGCCAAAGAGGTGCATGAATTTAAACACTCTCTTACAACTATTTCATCTTTACTGATCTTATAGGTAAAAAAATGGATTCTCTCTGTAGGTTTTATTATGGGTAGAAGAGATACCAGAAAGGAATTCTGACATGAATGGCAAGAAATTCCTGGGAGAGCAGCTTTATTCTATTTCACTATTTTTTTTCAGCAGGAAGAGCACAGTGTCAGTGCTGTTTTTTTCACCTCATCTCCACAGAGACCAGGGGGCACCCAGCTGAGAGGGAAGCTTCGAGAGGAGAGGGGCTGTGCTTAGTCAGTGAGAAAACTTATGGAAGAGATGTTGGCATGCAAGAGATTTTATGTTGAAAATTAAATTTATGCTTTATTGCACAAAGACCTTGGAAATCACTGCTTGGCAGCGCCCCTCACCACAGTAATCTCCCAAATGATGCCCGAGTGGCTGCCAAGCCTACTGGCTGGGTGTGAACGCAGCTGGTGGTCCTGAGGACAAGGATGCTTTAATGGGCCCTGCCTGCCAAGCGGGGGCTCTGGCGGTGATACACCCCCCCTCACTCCCTTCTCCCCCAACCAAGGAGGCTGTTCTGGATCTGAGAGCCAGAGATGCCTCAAAGAACATATGTGCCTGACATGAATTCAGAGGTGTGCTGTGGCCCCAAGGAAGGGGAGTTGCAGAGGAAACTTGGAGAGCAGAGCCATAGAGGGCCCTCATGAAAGCATCTTGATTCAGAACCTCCCCAGACTGGGTGTACGGACCTTTTTGATCTGCAGTGCCTGTCAGCTCCCTTCTATGAGGTGCAGGTGTAATTCTAGAATGAGTTCCAGCATGCCAGGGAAGTCTTGTACTTTAAAGGCTCCAAAAAAGATCTGTGAGTTGGCTTGCCCCCATAGCCATGTGGTCCTTACAGTGATGGGAATTTGACCATGTGCCCCCAGGGAGCTTTCTGATGCTTTGCAGAAAAATTCACATTATGAAAAGTTTCATATAAGCATAGACTGTGGTGGTGGTCACACAACTCTGTTAACATGCTAAAAAACACTGAACTGTACTCTTTAAGTGGGAGAATAGTGTGATATCTGATGAAGCTGGTAACATTTTTTACTACTGAAATTAAAAGGTAACCATTGGGTTTTTTAAGTAAGTACGGTGACAAGAATGCATCCCTTGCCCAAACACACTGAGGTTTGAGGCATATGGTAAAGCTCAGCAGCCCAGCGGAACAGACGTCTGAAGTGCACACAGCCTTGCTGTTCAGCCTCTCACCTGACCAGAGTCAGCCAGGAAGACAAAAATAGCTGACCACCAAAATTACCCTTAGTCCTTTTAAAAAGAAAACATCTGTAACAGCTTAGAAAACACAGTCTGTGTGTTTCTATATATACACCCCACACCTTAATACTTGTGTGCAAATATATCCTCTGTGTGGTAATGGACAGTACATAAGCAAAGAGTATCATTTTTAGGACTGTTTAATTTTATTGCCTGTTCCTTGATGTGTGAGATGCATTTTAATGAGTTAAATGCTCATATGATGTGGCCCTACCTTGTGTTTAGGAATATAGCATTCATTTAATTGAGGCTTACTCATTCATCCAGATATACTATATTGACTTGAATTTAAGCTACTTAATGAAGGGAGATACTACAGCTGGTTGTGTGCATAACTGTGACCAGACTTCAGTGATCTGCAGGCAAGTCATCCTTTCTGAGATTCATCTCTGGCAATTTTCCCCCAGTTTTGTTGAGACTTAATTGATGTAGTACACTGTAGCAGCTTCAGGTGTACACCACAGTGATTCGGTGTGTGTCTGTATTACAATATGATCACACCACAATAAGATTAGTTAACATTTGTCACATCACATAGTTGGAAATGTCTTTCCTTATGATGAGATATTTTAGGAGATCCTTTCTTAGCAACTTTCAAATATCCAATAGAGTGTTGCTAACTGTAGTCGACATGCTGTAGGTTATATGCCCAGGACTTAATTTTTCTTATAACCTGAGCTTGTACCATTCTTTCACCTCCCACCAATTTGCTCTCTGTATCTATGAGTTTGGTTTTTCTTAGATTCCATATATAAGTGAGATCATACAGTATTTGTCTTCCTCTGTCCGACTTATTTTTCTTAGCATAGTGCCTCCAAGGTTCAGCCCTATTCTTGCAAACGGCAGGGTTTTCTTCTTTTTTACGGCTGAATGATATTCGACTGTGTGTGTGCATGTGTGTGTGTAACAGTTTTTTTTAATCTGTTCATACATTGATGGCTACTCAGAAGTCTCCATGTCTCCATTTACTATTGTAAATAGTGCTGCAGTGAAAATGGGGGTTCAGATATCTGTCAAATGTTTAATCCTTGCCAGACCTCTGCCATCCCAGAAAAATGTTGGGAGAATTAAAAAATTCAATCAATTAAAAAAATTTTAATTGGAAAAATAAACCTCTTTCTAACTTCATTCATCCCTGATGCAGTTGCTCCATGGTTAGGAACGTGTGAGTCCTGAAGTTAAATGCCTTAGTTCCACTCCTGATGGGCCCAGCCACAGCTTCCCAGGCTCATGTTCCAAAGGTGTGGAGTGGGTGGAATGGCAAGTCCGACCTCTAAGGCTGCAGTGAGTCTTGACTGACACCTGTGAGGCAGTGCTTGGACCAGTGGCTGGCACATAGTGAATTCACAGTAAGATGAATTCACTCAGTTATAATGAATATGCCTGAAGCCCAGTATTTGTCACAATCCATACTATTGCATCGCTGATTACTACAGAATCACAGTCACTTTATTCCACATATGTATGAACAAGAACTGTGTGGTGACACACAGTGAGAAATATACAGATGGAAGTGCCAGCCTGTGTCCTTGTCGGGGGCTGTAGATGTCCCAGGATGTGAGAGCACTGGGGCAGCCCAGAGCTGAGGAACTCTCTGGCCAGGGCCTGGAACAGCCAGCCCTGGGAGGTGGGGCTGGAGCTGGGCTTTGAGGAGGGTGCGTGAGGACAGAAGGACAGAGGGATGCCAAGGTGGGGCACTCGAAGGGCAGGATAGACAGACCAAGGGTCTGGAGTCTCAAGCAGGGACGCAGAGAAGTTTGGAAAGAAACAACATGCAGAATGTTACTTCCTCTTTGGGAAAATGTTATTTTGAACTACAAATACAGAAAACAAAGCCAAACAAAAGCTTCTCAGCTTGTGGGCCTCCCCTGAAGCTAAGGATTTTCCAGGGGCCAAGAAATGGTTTTAATTCTTGCTGTTGTAAAAGTGGTATTTATTGATGCCAAAGCTCTAAACTAAGCAGCAAGGCAGAGTAGAAGGTGGTGCAAGGCCATGACCCCTGTTGCTGCCTGCTGCAGGAGGCTGCTGTGACCTGCTCAGGACTCTTCCCTTGTGTGTTCTGTGGAAATCAAGGAGTCCACTCCAGATGCCCTGAGGGGGCTGGGTTACTCTGCTGATCTTTGCTGTGATAAATGCTGCAGTGAAAGCTGGCTCCTGCAAGGACGTCCACGGGAGAAGCTCTCTGCAGTGGCCTTGCAAGGCCAAGTGTATGCATGTGTTCTTCACGTACTTCGTGGATCTTTTTGCACAGGGGAAGGGCTGCACACGATGCCTTTCCAGAAGCAGGAGGGGAGCACGCTTCCTCCTCTCTGTCTGGGGAAGGCCACACTTTCCCTGCATATAGCCTGGAAACCTGCCCTCAAGGCATCCTGGAAGCATTTTCTTCTGAGTGTCTTCTTCTAAACATGAACCAAGTGTTTTATAAACATGTGGTTTCCTCCTCTTTTAACAGGAATTTTTGCCTACATGAACTACAGAGTCCCCCGGACGAGGAAGGAGATTTTTGAAACCCTCATCAGGGGCCTACAGCGGCTTGAGTACAGAGGCTATGACTCGGCAGGTAGGCCCCGCATACTGCTGCGATATGAACACAACACTTGCTCATTGAACTTGAAAATTACAGAAAAATAGAAAGGAAAAACAAGTGTTAAAATATCTCCATCTATAGCACCCCCCACATGTATCTCTGTGTCCCTCTTGCAGTCATTGCTGTGGCTAAGTTGGGGTGGTCTGGGGGTGGGGGCTGGGAGGGTCATGCATAGATTTTTTTTTATTTTTGCCTAATCATAATTACAGACTTTCTTAGTTTGATATTCTTTTCCCGCTTATTTCAGCTTTCTCCATCACCGTAAACTCTTCCTGATGATCTTCCTAAGTGGCTGCATAGTCCCTCCACTGGATGTCTGTCTCGGGGTTCACTCTTGCATCTGCCCAACGGGTGGCTGTCTAGTCTTTTTCCATTTTTAATCAAACAGGCTTAGGAGGAAGAAGGAGGCAGATGATTTTATATCCCCATCAATTCTTAACAACACATCAGATGAAAGATTGCAGGAATACTAATACAATGGGGGTGCCAGCAAACAAGCAGAATGCAAAGCACACAAGGAGATAAATGCCCTTAAACAAGCCTCTGCCTTCAGTGGTGGGCCTGGGGGCCCCTCACTTACAGGCCAGCTCCTGGGGGTACATCCTAGTTGGAATTCGGTCAGGGCAGCCTCAGCCAGGGTGCCAAGTGCACATCGCTTGCTTGCTGCAGGACAAGAACTAATAAATAGACAGGTCTGTGTAGCCCTCATCCTGGGCCGTGCCCTGTAACAAAGTGTGGGTGACAAACCTTAAATTCCAACTGAAAATCACATTTGTATTACAGGTGTGGCAATCGATGGAAATAATAATGAAGTTAAAGAAAGGCATATCCAGCTTGTCAAGAAGAAAGGAAATGTCAAGGCTCTTGATGAAGAACTTTACAGTAAGTGGAAAACATCCAGAGTCAGAGCAACAAATGCAGTGTGGATCACCTTAAAATCTTTTATTCCAACTTGTCCAAGGCATGGATAAACAGGAGGAGGGTTAAGCCCATGTTGCAAAACTGTGTTTCCTAGAATGTGGGGTGGTTTATTTTAGGAGGTGGTGAGTGGAGAATTTTCTTTTTATATTTAGTATTAAATATTTTTAATATTTGGTATTTAATTTTTCAGCAAATGATACTGCTTTTCCATTTGTGGTAGTGGTCCATGATTTTCTTTTTAAAATAAGTCTCTTTCAGTTGCAGGCTGAGTTAGGTTACTGATTAGTACTAATTAAGCAATACCCGGGATCTGGGGAAATCCCCAGGGTGGGGCCTTTGCCCTCCATGGTAGGATGTGCTGTCTCTGTCACTGAGTCCCCACGGTATGATGCCCTCACTCTAAGAGTACTGGGTCTGTGCTTGCTTTTAAAGTGCTGCAAATGGATTTTTCTTTCATTTAGAACAAGACAACATGGACTTAAAGGTGGAGTTTGAGACTCACTTTGGCATCGCTCACACACGCTGGGCAACCCACGGGGTCCCCAATGCTGTCAACAGCCACCCACAGCGCTCAGACAAAGCCAATGGTGCGTAATAGACCTTGCTCCCCATCCTGGTGGGCCTGGCTGGCCCCGGCCCTTGCCTGCTGCCAACAGGCTTCTCAGCTGGCCCTGTCTCCCCAGGATCCAGAGGGGTGGCAAGCCCTGCCTGGCGCCTGGACGGTCTGACTCCCAGGTGTCCACAGGAAAACAATGACACGTCCACGAGCACTGCTGGCTTTTGGGACCATGCCAAAATGGACTTGGTGACAAAAGGTGTTGAAGGCTCTGGGCTGTTCCTTGACAAGGGACCGAAGTATTCCAGGGGCTTGAGGCAGGGATTGGGGTCCTTCCTAGACCAACCCCACCCACCCTGGCCCAGAGGAGAGTGGTCCTGAGCCCGGTGGGCGGCTGTGTCGGGCTTGGTGGATGTCTCAGGTGCTCCAACCCTGGGCCCAGCAGCAAGGCTGTGGCAGCCTAAGGCTTGAGATTTGGAGGATCAGAGGCTGCTGTGGGGCTTCTCCTCTTGGCTCCCTTTGTGTGTTTAAAAACTGAGAAAGTTGCACATAAAAGTCAAGACTTCTGGCGTCCCTTGTAAAGACAGTCACAGGGACGCCAGCCCCTCTGGTGGGCTGCGATCTCCCCACTGTCCCTACCACCCCCCGATGCCCTCCCCAGCTCATGGGCCCCTCACTTGCCTGGGCCCCCAGGACAGTTCTCCATGCCATGGTTCTCCTAAGTGACACCCCAGCCCCTCTCATGAGGGAAGGAATGGTAGATCTATAGATGCCGGTGGCAGCTCTTGGGTACTCTGCAGTCACCCCCAGGAGTGCGGGGGCCTCCTGCAGCAGGACACAGTAGGCATGTGAGATGAAGAGAAGACATAATCCCAGACTCCCCCCAGGGCTCCTGGGAAGGCCTTCCAGTGGGACCTCGCTCTGGGTTAGACCTGGTCAGGTCTAAAGCCCTGGATGAGAGGGCAGGAAGGAGGAGGGTGTCAGTGGAGGGAATGAGCTCTGGAGTCAGCTGGGCCCCCTCAAGACATCCCCTGGCACATGCAAGTTCTTGTCAAGCCGCATGTCAGGGTAGGAATCAGGTCTGTCAGAGTTGTTGTGAGGTGCTTAGCGGCAGGCACTTGGCTAAATGCTTGACAAACGTCCCTGCAGCACCATGTGCAGTTGGGTCCCCAAGGAAAGCAGCACCTCCCTGCTCAGTGTCCCTTATCCCTGTGGGGCAGCGGTTCCTGGAGGCAGCTCCCACTGCCCGATTTGGAAGGGAAGGCCCCTCTGGAGAGCAAGAGAGACCCCCATGCATCCTGCTCAGCCGGAGAGCTGGGAGCTGGAACTCAGCCGCGCAGGGGCTGGCGACATGTGGTCAGAGTCTTGGGTGGTGAAGGCTTTTTGCCAAGGAATGTTCTTCGGATCTGGTCCATGCCCTGAACCCTAAGGCACCCCACTACTGGGCCAGGCAACCCCACGCGGGAGGGGGACAACAAACCCCAGGGTGCTGAGGATCTAGAGCACACATCTGACCAAACCCCAAGCCGGACGCTGAGGAAGCACTGCACCAGAGCCAAAGCCCTGAGGTACTGACCCCCGGCCCAGCCTTCCCGATGATAAGGAGAACCTGCGTCAGTGCAGAAAATGATTCTGTGTCCCTGAAGCAGGGAGGCTCCAAGGAGAGCCCCCCACACCCAAACTGGGAAATGTCTACCCTGACTCAGGATGAGTCATTGAAAAGAAAACAACATGGGAAATCAGGGAAGATTCATAAATACCTTTAGCGACTTATCAGCAGTAGCTAAAGACCACACTTGTAAGGAAGGCTTACACCCAGCAGCAACATTGCACAAGAAAATGACACAAGCGAGTTTTTGCAAGGAAAAAAACAGATTCTAGGAAACAAATTAATGACGCGAAGTTGAGACAGTTGGCAATAATGATAGAAAATATGCCAGGGTTCAGAAAATAATGGAAAGCAACCATGTGAAATCATACTTTGCAATAAACAGGAAAAAAACAGGAGGAGGGGATGGATAGAGAGGCAGTTAATAAAGACCTAACAGGTGGATAACTGGTGTCTTCAAGGAGAGATCAGAACAAACAAAACTAAAAAACTGTGTAGCTGTAGCAGAGTTCTGTGGTGGCTAGCCCATGGCCTGAAAATGGCTTTTCTAGTCAAGCCCTCCCAGTTCTTGTGTGAACTCACAAATGTAAACAGTAAGTTGTAAAAAAAGGAATAGAGAGGGGAAATGATGGTTTAAAAAAAAGTCAAAGAATGAAAGAAAGGGTTTAAAAGATGGAATAGGAGAAACCTGTCCTGTATGGAAGAAAAACTTGAATTGAAAATCCAAAGGTTCACTGAATAATACTTCTGAAGAAAACTCAACACCAGAATACATCCTGGTGGAATTTATTGAATGCCAAGGATGAAAAAGGGTCTTTCTATCATCTAGGCTGAGGGGAGCAGAAAGACTTGTCCAGAAAAACCCTCAGGTGAACCTTAGGCCTTTTCCTCAAGTTTCTTGTTCACCAGCTACATACTAAGAAAATGCATTGGTGACTGAGGCAGCCCCATTCCTGAGCCGCAGGGTCGCCAGGGGGGTCCCTCCTGCACAGTGTGTTGGCGGGCAGCAGACCCGTACAGGGACATGCTCCTAGCTACACCAGAATGAGCCCAGGATGCCAGAATTTTTTGGGGGGGATCCCCTAAGAAAATCAGGAATTTGAAGTGAAAATTCAAATTTTTAAAAGTCAAATCTTTTTCTAATACAGTGTGGGTCAAACACAGCATGGGTGTAGCCCTCTAGCCTGTGACCTCATTGAGTCTAAGCCAGTTGGGAGTGCCTGGAACTGTTTCTGGGTAAAGAAGGGTTCATCGCCCGTTTGACATAAAGATCAAAGCCGGTTTCATGATCTGCAAAGCTCCGTGCGAGGTCAGTTTGGTGGATGCTTACCTCCGAAACAGAAATGCATTTCCTCAGGTTTAAATTGTAATCATGGCAGACATCTGCTCTAATCCCCGAATGTGAGGGCTAACAAGCATCTCTGTAGGAGCAGTTTGCCAAGAGTGAAGCTGCCGGACTGGTTTCCTTCTTATCGGACTTGAACTTCACTTCTGCACAGCATTTCTCTCTTGACTAAATTTTTCTTCCAGAATTTGTTGTCATCCATAACGGGATCATCACCAATTACAAAGACCTGAGGAAATTTCTGGTAAGAAACATCCCCTGGGGAACATCTAAGTGGAAGGATATTGGACTTCCCCAGAAACTTTTCAACCAGCTCATTTCCCTCTGGAAACAAAGGCAGGAGCTAAGGGAGACCCACTGTGGGCCACACCACCGCGTTAGACCCAAACTCCATCCCCGCTCAGCGGCTGCCCCAATCCTGCTGGAGGAGAGGGCAGAGCATCTGCATTCTCCTCAGGGGCCATTGCAGATTTGCAGAATCAAAAGAACGTGGACTTTCTTTTAATAAAGCGTCTGTGCTAAATAGCACATTGACTTCATATGCCAAACGAAAAGTGGGGTGGGGAGGCAGCCTGCAAACATCTAAAATATGAAAAGTTGTGGTGTTGGTTGGGATGTGGGTGGATTTGACTCAACAGATCTGATCATTTTGACTTGTTTTGCAATGTCCAGATTAATGGCAAGGACAAGCTTCTGCGGAGGGATGATCTCAGGGAATATTTGAATGACTCAGCTGTGTCGGGCTGTGTGATTCTGGCAAACATCTCTCATCCCTTCCCATTTCCCTTGCTTTCAGTCTTAAGTCCCTCTGAAGGCAGATCATGGGGGAGGAGAGGGAGCTGGCCGGGCTGCATTGCGCAATGACTGTTCCCTGACACCCTGTGTCCAACCAAATATTCCAGGAAAGCAAAGGCTACGAGTTTGAGTCAGAAACAGATACAGAGACCATTGCCAAGCTGATTAAATATGTGTTTGACAACAGAGAAACTGAGGACATTACGTTTTCAACACTGGTTGAGAGAGTCATCCAGCAGTTGGTGAGTTGCAGGTCCCACCTGTCAGTCGTGCCTTTGTTCTTTCACTTCCATAGGCATTTGTTAGGCAAATTTGCACAAGTCCCTGAGGATTAAAGATAGTCATCTTCAGCATCCTTGTAGAATTGGGAGATGTTTGTGAGGTTTGTGTACTAAACATCAAGTAGAAAGTGTCTTGCTTTATTTTAACACTTCTGGAATTCTGATCAGCCTTCCAATCTGTGCCTTCTCATGATGGCATGTTGTATACAGGACCTTGGCTGTGGCGATTCACACTGTCATCTGGTCGGTTGACTTGTGTCTGCTGTTAGTTAAAGACTCGAGATGCACTTAACTGACGTTGGAGACTAAAAAGTGTAGTGTTTCCTCCTGTTTAGTGAAGCAGTTATTTGTCACGCAGGAGAAAAGCCCAAACACCCTTACGGAGCAGAGTTGGAAGGAAGAGGAAACAGACAGGAGGTGCAGGTGTTTAAAAAATTGGGTTATAGACGATGCAAAGGGATGGCCCAGAGGAGATACCAGATCAGGTCTGTGTGCTGAGGGGAATGACCCAGGAGAAGAGAGACATTGGTAATGTCCCAGAGGACTGGACCCGTGGAACAAAGTTCTTGAAAATGAGCACATGCTCGGGAGGGGGTCTGGCCAAGAGAAATCCCCCTTACAAGAGGGGGTGGAGTGGACCCAGGCCCTGTGTAGGGCTGCAGACCTCCCAGAGCTGGTCCAGTGCCATCCAGTAGCTCCTCCAAAATGGGGACAGGGCTCTGGGCTGCGAATCCAGAGCACCCGGGGTCAGAGGCTGCTGCAGGTCCAGTACTGGTTTAAAAAATATCACCCTTTTTGTTGTTTCAGAGTCTTTTTTTTTAAAGTAAGTCTACTGTCAAGCCCTTTGCCCTAGGACTCCCATTTTGGGGGGTCATGATTTAGAGAATGTATTTGTAAATAAGGGCCTGTCCCATCTGTGATGTTCCATACAATGTACTGTGTAATGTACAGTCAACAAATTTGGTTTTGCATCCCCATATTTTATCTTTTCCACTTGTGATTTTAGATTTTGGAAATACCTCTCCAGGGAGGGCACTTGTAAACTTCAGGGACTTCTCTTACCTAAAGCAACACAGTGCTCTTTTGGGCAGAGAATGGAAAGTGTTTCGTTTTTGTTTTTAATTCAGTCCCTTCATTTGGAGCAGTTTGAAAGGCCCTTAGAGGCCTGGGGACACTAAGTCTGGGTCCCCCTGGCTGTGTGGCTGGGTTGGCAAACTGCCCCTAGCACACTGGCCACATTGGGCTGTGGTTCTGCCCAGGGTTCCAGAATGTGGAGGATTGCACATGGGAATCCAGACTCACAGCTGCTTATACATAACCAAAGTCTACTAGGTACTAGGGTCTTGGTAAATTCATATAGGCGGTCAGCATATAGGAAAGAATTTTGCACTGAAGATTAAATAGAACATTTGGGGCCTTGGGCCAGATTCTAGCTCTGGTCGCACACACCAACAAGCCGAGGTGCAGCACATGACAGTCATCGCCATGGAATAGTAAGAAGGGCAGTAATGCCAGCTCTTGCTTCCATTTGGTGTTTGAGAGGGCACACGCTGTGCCAAGCACTTAAAATGCATGAGCTCACAGATGCCATACAAGGTAGGACCGTCCTCACTCCATTCACCAGGGGGCACGCAGAAGACTGAAAGTAGGATTTGAACCCAGCTCCTAATGTGTGTGGCACTCAGCAGGTCACAATGGGCCCTTCAGTCCTCACAGGAGGTACTGTCCCTGAGGTGCAGCATGGGACCTCTGTCCCTGAGTCTCATTTCCAGAGTTTCTACCTGCGCCAGCCTGCCCAGGTCAGCGCGGAGCTGGAAATTGCTCCTCGTGGGCCTGGGCAAGTGTGGTTTGTGGTGCTCACGATGAAATCCATACGCTCTGGCCTTCGGTTCTCCAGCATGGTGCTGTGTCTCGCTTTCACTCTGCACGGGCTGTCCTGCCTTGGCCACCGTGAGTGACCCAGGACTGCCCCAGGAGGAGCTGCCCTGTCTGGGGCGGTAGCCCAGCTGCAGAGGCCCAGCTTAGCCAGAGCCAGTCCTCCTCACCCTTCTCTCCTGTGTTTGCAGGAAGGCGCATTCGCATTGGTTTTCAAGAGCATCCACTACCCAGGAGAGGCAGTTGCCACAAGGTGAGGCAAAACTCATTGATGTTTCAGAGAAAAGGAAACCACTTCACTTGCGGCCAAGGGAGGAGCACGGCCTCTGGCAAACTGGGAGGTACACTCTTGGAGAGATACTGTGGCTTAGCCATGGAGAGTGTACCCCACAGAGGCCCTGCAGCCAGAGCCTCTGAGTTTTTAAAGAGAAGCCAGGCGTTGGGTTTTTATTTGGAAGCTACAGATTTTTAGAAGTTGGCAAATCCAAATTAAAAATAAAATTGTACAGTGAGGGCAGGTTCTGGGTTCAGGTCAACTTCACAGACTTCTTTTAGGAAAAGCGTGGAAAACATGAACACAAACTAGGAATGAAAATGAACATCGACTTGAATTCAGTAAAAGAAGAAGCCTTGAAGGACCAGTACTCAAGCTTTATCACCTCTATACCAGGGGTGTCCTGGCGACCAGACGCCCCTCTGTTAGAGCCCTGTCCATCCAGCCATCTGTCCGTCCAGCCATCCAAGTCCACCCGTCAACCTGACCACACATTCATCCATGCATCCATCCTACTAGTGCTTGTTGAGCTGCGCTGGGCCCTGGGACCTAGTGACACCTGACCTGGCCCTGCCCTTCAGGACTGGACAGCTGTGCAGGAGGACAGAGCAGGGCAGGGGCTGGCAATGCTCTGTGCCTGAGGCTGGGGCAGTGCAGTGGGAGCCTGAGTGGGAGCAGCTGTCAGTCTGGGGGAGGTGCAAAGGGCCCATGGTGAGCGTGGCACTCTGAGGTCCCAAAGCTAGGCCAGGATGGTGGGGTTGGGGGCTCTGGTGGGATGTGCTGCTCCTCTGGTCTCAGAGTGCTCACTGACACCTGTGTAACAGGCCTGGGGGACAGTGGAGAGCACGGGTGTATGGATAGTGAGCTGAAAACCGCGAGGGCTGTGGGGACTAAGGATGTGGGCAGGGCCCGGATTTGCAGGGCCTAAGGTGCCCTGTGGGCTGCAGGCTTCTGAAGGCACTGGGGGCCATCGAGAAGGCTCCTGCAGTCCTGGGAGACCAGGCCAGAGGGGGTGATGCGGTGCTCTGAAGACTGCCAAGGTATCTAGGCAGGGAATGATATGAAAGGAGTGTGGTTTTATTTTTTTCTAGGATAAGAATTAATTTACCACTTGGAATTTACTTCAAATTATAGAATCATAAAACATCCATTGGTCCTTATCAAATTTAGAACCCCCTCTTTAAATCTGATATTATCATAGTATTACTATTTAAAAGGAATGCAGAAAAAGACAGGGTGAAGAAGCCATCTATCTTTATTTTTCTGAATTGCCTGTAACTGGCTGCTCTGTAACCTCTGGGGCAGTCTTTGTGCTGTCTGGGGAGCATCACATGCCACAAAGTCCAGGGAAGCTCCATCAACAGCTATAGAGTTTGGGGGAGACATTTGCCAAGAAAATTTGATGACCACAGTACTTTCTCACTGTCATGATTATAAAGACTAAAACTGATTCCCCAGTGGACCTAAAACTATGTCTCTGATTTGCTTTGGACACAATACAAGATCATCCAGATTGTTCAAGGTGCTCACAGCACTCCCTTCAGAGCCACAGACTATGTCCCCCACTGTAAAGAAGTCAGAAGTGGGGTCCAAACAGGTCAATACTGGTGGGAAATGAGATCTGTACTTGTTGGGAAATATTTAGGGCCTGTATTCAGTCAGGATAACTGAATATATGGGACCTGGACTCAGGCTGTTTTAACAAGTAGTTCGCTGACCTCAGTTGGTAGAAACTGATTGAAGTAAAATATTACCCCATGTATTCTAGTTAATGTGTTTGAGACAGCCTTCTTAAATTGTCTTATTAAAATCATCTCTTACTTGCCACACACACAAAAAAGAAGCAGTAACTATGTAAGCAGATGGAGGTGGCAGCTAATGCTGTGGTAATTTTGCAACATATAAATGTATCAAATCAATATGTGTACCTTAAACTTATATTGCAATAAAGCTGGAAAATAAAAAGGTAAAGATAGCTCCTACTTACAGAGTAGGTGCCAGGATACATGTGATCTTGAACTTAAAACAATAAGCTTCCCTCTGAGTACACTGAAAGTTTCCAATGAACCGTGGTAGTGGTGATACTAAAAAAGACATTCTTAGTGTTTTCTTATTATTAGGTCAACCTATAGGGGAGAAAAAGAATGTATCATTTAGTAACTACTGGAAGGTTACTGTCTGGGTTCTGGCTGAGTTACAGGTCTAGGGTTGAGTTATAGAAGTAAACTGCTTGTCCTGCTGCATACACGTGCTGAATTCGATGTGCATGCTATAACTGGGAAGAGTGGGCAGTGAACTAGGTTTGGGAGGTGGGATGCCGTTGAAATCATGGACTAATGCCTTAGCTACATTAGCTGCAGGAGTGCTGGGCCAGAAGGAAGGTCCATGAAGAGCTTTCCAGCCTTCTGCAGCCGTGTCGAAACCAGGCTGTGGGAGAGGAGCCCTGAGCTAGGGTCAGGTACAGGAAACCTCCAGGGTTCACCTTGTGAAAATCGCCGTCCCCATTGTGATGGAGCCAGCCTTGTGCAGGGTGAAATTTCATACATGAAGTGCCACTCAGGCCACAACAGAACCACTCCTGAAAGAGCCCTCCGTGGCCTACAATGTCCAATAGACCTGAAGCCAGTTAGTGTAATGCCCCCTAAAGGTGGAAAACAACTGAGCTAAGTGAAAGGGGTGGGCAAAGAGCATTTTTGGCCAGGTCCCGGGCATCAAGGGCTCCCACTTTAGAGATGGGCAGCAAGTGGGGGCCAGGTGGAGACCCTGACAGGGCTGCAGTAACTCACAGCCTCTGTGTTCTAACCCTGTGGGTCATGAAAGTAAACTGGGATTCTCTGTTAGCCTGTTGTCCCTGCTCCAAGCCGTGGGAGTGTATTCCTGCGGCCAAGGAGCCCATTCAGTGGGACCTCAACAGGACAGTTTGCCCCTGGGAGAGGGCTAGATGCCAGGACCCCTCCTCAGTGCTCAGAGGGCATCCAGCCCCACCGCGGGGTGTCTGGGTGGTGGGTAACTCCTTTCCCTCTCGTCCCTACAGGAGAGGCAGCCCCCTGCTCATTGGAGTGCGGAGCAAATATAAACTTTCCACAGAACAGATCCCCATCTTGTATAGGACGCGTAAGTTCTTCTAGAAGGCCTTGACCAGGGCAGCTGTTGCTCTTGTGCAGGCAGCCCCCCTGTAGGGGGCAGGATGCCTTCACTGTTCAGGGACCCACGTGCATGAGGCTCCAGTTCCAAAAGGTTGGCACACAAGTGAGACTTGGCTCCATTTTTTCAGAAACTTTTTTCAAACACGTACACAAGTTGAGGGAAGAGCAGGCTGTTCTGTTATATAAAGGCGCCCGTGCCCTGATTCGCGGGTTGATTGAGGGTTGGTTGGTTTTGTTTGCAGCCGTTAAATGCTCTCCCAGCAGTACTGTGCTATTTGGGGATCTTTTACACAATTTGGCTGACGCAGCCAAAGCTAAAAATTGCAAATTTCTCCCACACATATTCAAAGGGGAAATTGGCTCCTTGCTTCATGTTATTCAAACAAAAGAGTTTAATGGGGATTTGTGATGCTTTCCTTCATTTGCTAGGCAATTTTGAGAATGTGAAGAATATCTGTAAGACAAGGATGAAGAGGCTGGACAGCTCGACCTGCCTTCATGCCGTAGGCGATAAAGCAGTGGAATTCTTCTTTGCTTCAGATGCAAGGTAGCTAAATGTGTTTCTTTTCTTTCTTAGGGTTATGAAATCAAGAACAACTGGTGAACACCACCATTTCTTACTTTTGCCCCTACCTGAGGTGTTTTCTCATGGATGGCTCAGCAAGGGGCGGGATGACAGCAGATTTAAGCTCTGGGTGACCCTCCCCAAGAAGCCTTAGGCAGTGAGCACCTGCGTGGCCCTCAGCCGCAGCCCTGGTGGCCGAAGGCCAAGTCCATGGACCTGCACCTTGGGCCTGCACAAAATAATTGAATTAGCTGCCACCATTTTGAAATTGGGAGATTTCATATAAAAATCTGATTTCTAGTTTTTCTGGAAACCAGCAAATCTGAGCATGCTAGGCTGTACCCCGCCTGGCCACTGGAAAGCTGTTCCCTTAGCTGGGCCGCTGCCTCCAGGCACAGCCCCAGGTCTGCCTGCATTCCAGTTGCTTTTGCCTGCGCTGACCATTCATAAAAAAGCCAAGATCGAGGGTGTGGGCCCGGTGGATCCCAAAGTTCATGTTCTCATCAATACACAAAACAGTAATTCTGCAATTTGAGAAAGTTGGCTTCATACCCATTTTAGTAGAAAAAAATGTATACACACAGTCAGAAGAAAAAGTGCTTTCCTCCTGAAATAGAAAACCACCAAACATACCACCACTGTACCTCCTGCATCCTCTCTCCTGTCTCCTTCCCACCAGCCTCTAGGATGGCCTTGCTGTGAATGGCAGGGCAGGGGGTGGGGGGAGGAACTCCAGGAGAGGCCTCGTGGGACACTGGGAGTAATAGAGATCTAGAGCCCAGGCTGCGAGGCCTGTTCAGCCCCCAACCAGCATGGTACTTAACGCTTACAGTAAAGAACAGTGATTCCCAAACTATGTTCCTCAGGGCACCATTTCTAAGATAAGCTAGTACTATTTCAGTGACTCTAAGACACACAACCATTTCATAGATTTTCACATTTATAAGTGGCCTCTGGCAATTATAATTTGCTAGCATTTTTATTTCTTAGAAATATATAAAATATCTGTGATCTTATGTTCAATGTTACCTTATAGTCAATGAAATATGGCAGATGTTTCTCAAAAAAACAAAACAAAAATGATGTGAACACCTGAAAGGAGATGAAATAATTATTTGTAGGCAATACAATACTTCTAAAATCCAACTGAAAGGCTGTGAGAACTAACACTAGCGAGTGGTCAAAGATTCAAGGTGTAGAAATCCGCATCCCAGAAGCAGCCGCTGGGCAGGGTTAGGAGGGGAGGCAGCGGCAGGGAACACCACATTCACCTCATTCCCTCTATCTCCTCACATGACTAGCACAGCAGGCTCGCTGCAAGACCCTGTTGCACAAAAAAGGTAATCTGTTTACCACAGCAGAAGAAAACATGTTTTCATCCTTTAAAATAAAGTTTAATAAAAATAGGACAGACCTCATTTGCAGAAGACTACAAAAGTTTACCATGAGAAACAAGAAGAGATTTGAATTAAGGGAGAGATTGGTAAAAAAAGGCTTAATATTATTTCTTTTAATTAACTGGTCTACAATTATTTTAATAATTAAAAATTATTTTTTAAAAGATACTGAGTCTCCTTATACTAATCTGTAAATTTGATGCTCTAATTAAAATCTTCAAGATTCTTTTGTGTGTTTAGGTTTTTGAACTTAAGAAGTGATTCTATAATGTATGGTGTATAGATGAGAAAACGCATTAAAAAATGAGAATGACAGGGTGACCCTCCCAGATAAAACGCATTAAAAAATGAGAATGACAGGGTGACCCTCCCAGATAGGAAGGTGCATGTAGAGCTTTTATAAGGACAGGCTTTTCCAGGATGACCCATTCTAACAATGACAATAAACCTCTGGTGAAGGCGCATCCATCATCTCCCATTTTACAGTGAGGTAAGGATTCCATATCAGGTTGGTCCAACTCCCACGCCAATGGTCTGAATGACAGATTAGACTGCCATCCACTGTGCGGCTAAAAATAATAGCTACACTTAAACACACAGACACACACATACCCATAAATACAACCACACGGATGAAGCACTGCCAGGAAGGCCGTACAGAGTAAGCTGTGTTTATCTCTTGGAGACGGGATCAGACCACTTTCTTCCTCTTATTTGGTTTTCTACTTTTGAAACCATGGGTGTGTATTGTTTAAAGCAACTTTTTCTGGTTTGGGGGCATTCTGTTCTTCCCTAGGGTCTGTCTGAAGACACCTCTCAGAGAACCGGAAAACTTGATCGTTTCTCCCTTTGACTTTGCATTGGGAGTTTTAAGTGTTCATTTTTCTGCACAGGACACTTGGTAGAATGAGAGTTTTTTTCTACTGTGGTCCTCTAAGCACTACCTTTGTGATTTTTACATCTATGGGCCACCTGTGCTGTTGGTTATCTAACTTTCTTTTTCATTTGCCAACTTTTCTAACTTAAATGTATTTTTCAAAGAAACTTTCCATTGCAATCTCAAGGGAAAAATTATTATTACTTTCCACACAGAGAAAGTTATAACAATAAGCAATGTTCCCCTACTTCATTGATGGACATATTTTGTAGTTTTCTACTTTTTTCTTGCATTCTGTGTGGTGTGTGTGTGTGTGTGTGTGTGTGTGTGTGTGTGTGTGTGTGTGTTTTAAGAAACTGAGTCATTTGTCCTGAAGTTACCCACTGTCTGGGTTTTGCTGAGTGACTCCTGCATGGTGCCACTGAACATGTCCCTGTGTCCACTGTAGTTCCTGTAAACTAAAGTCTTAGAAGCGTGATCTCCTTCAGGTTTGATATTTTGGCAAGATTGCTTCATAGGTGGTGGTATATCCTTCCATCAAGAGGCACTTGGATCTCACTGTCTGTCCTTTTGTGCTGCTGAGCTTGTTCAGGGGCTCAAGCATCACCAGCCTTGTCCAGTCCATCGTAAAGCTGCTCTCAGCTTCCACTGCTTGGTTTCAGCAAGCACTGGTGGTCCTGGATCAGAGTCATTAATGATTAGGAGTTCATGCATCAATTAGTGTGATTCTGTCATTCCTTCTTTACTAGCTAGATGCCTTCCAAAAGGAGAAACTTACCTTCATAAACTATGTGGCTATTCTGAAAGATAGGTCATTTGGAAAGGCAAGACCAACATTTCACACTTGCCCTGCATTGGTTCCTGAGCATTCTGCACCGCTCTGCAAAGGCAACACGTCTGGAAGGAAGCAGATATAAAAGGACGTCTATGAGATTCTTGGGGGAATGAATATACTGGATATTTGATGATTTGAAGGAATAACTATTAATTTTAGATGTCATAATGGTATTATAGTAGGTTAAAGAATAATCCTTATCTCTCAGAGACATAAGCTAAAATGTTTACAGAGGAAAGGGTACGATGGCTGGGACTGGCTTCAAAATAATTCTCAGGGACAGCAGGAAGGGGTGAAGAGATGCTCATGTGTGGTGTCCCTGTCCTTCCTAAAGTGCCCTCCAGGGCTACTGATACAGACCCACACTTGGGGAGCAGAGGGACTGTCATCCAGTAATGGTCGAGGGCAGGCTCCATCTGTGACACCTGTTTTCCTTACCCCAGTGCTATCATAGAACACACCAATCGGGTCATTTTCCTCGAGGATGATGACATCGCTGCAGTGGCTGATGGGAAACTCTCCATCCACCGGGTCAAGCGTTTGGCTAGTGATGACCCATCCCGAGCAATCCAGACCTTGCAGATGGAATTGCAACAAATCATGAAAGGCAGGTGTCCTCAGAGGGTCTGTGGTCACAACTTCAGGTGCAGCTGCTCTGGAGGGAGCCCCTGAGACTCTCCATCCTGGGGGGGTGCCATAGCCTGCCTGGCCAGCTCCTCCAAGGGAGGCCTCTGACTCCACCCAGGAGCCTTGTCTCCCTGCTTGCTCTTTCCCTACTCTCTGGGACACAGTCCTACATCTGGGCATCATTTCTATGGGAGGGAGGCCTGCAGTAAGGGGGTGCTCTGGATCACTTTCTCTTGGAAACCTGTCTCCTTGTACCTCTTCTCCAAGGGCAGCCTGGGTAAACTTTTGAGAGTGAAGCAGAGCCTCTTACCAGAGCCGGCCCCACCTACTCACCCCCGTCCCCTCTCCACTCCGCCCGCCCTGGCTGCCTTGCTGTTACCCAGCCAGCCACGTGCTTGCTGGCCCAGGGGTTGTCACAATCATCTTCTCACAGGACTGGCTGCCTCTGACCAGCTCCCCTGAGACACTGCCCCCTCAGAGAGCCCTTCCCTGATCCTGAGTCTGCGGTGGCCCCACACCCCCCTTGTCATTTTTGTTTTGTGGCATTCTTTGCATGTGTCCTCTGCCAAAGGCGGCAGGCAGGGAACACAGTGATGTTTGGCATCATGCGCATGTGTGTCCTGGAGAACATCCCTACCCTGCCTGTATTGGGAACACCACGTGTCAGGGGCCTTAACATGCTGTGCCCAGATGGTCCCTTTGACGACACCCAATTCCATTCAAATCAGGGTCTAGAAATGTATACATGGCTGAAAAGGTTTTTCTTTAATACAGAAGCTGGGAGGGTGTATGTTAAAAAGAAAATGTTTAATTCATAATTACCTAAGCAGATGGGTTTTATGAAAGTAAAGCATTTTACTTTCTTCTGGCCTTGCTAATAAGAGAGGAGCATGTCCCAGGAAGATCAGTCACACATTTTTGCTTGCATCCTTGCCTCCCTGGGGCTGCAGGGTCTGACATGTAAACTGGAGACAGTAATCAGACCTGACCTGCTTCCCTTTCACTTGTCACCATGAGCATCAGGTGGGACAATACCTGGGGTTGCCTTCTGTGATCTTCAGGGCCTTTGCATGTGTCACTGTGGTTAACTGCATAACAGGCCCTGATTAAAAATTTTAATCATCCTGATTAAAAGTTAAGCAGTGCTAATGTAACTACATGATGGTGATGTTTATTTGACCAGGTAACTTCAGTGCATTTATGCAGAAGGAGATCTTCGAACAGCCAGAGTCAGTTTTCAATACGATGAGAGGCCGGGTGAATTTTGAGACCAACACAGGTAATCCGTGTCTGCACCCTGGGCAGATGTGCAGTCCACCGTGCAGTCCTGTGTCAGGTCAGCATTAACCCCTGTGTGTGTGCCTTGCAGTGCTCCTGGGTGGCTTGAAGGACCACTTGAAGGAGATACGGCGATGCCGACGGCTCATTGTGATCGGCTGTGGGACCAGCTACCACGCCGCCGTGGCTGTAAGTGCAGTACGCTGGGCCCTTGGTAGTGCCCGACGGGGGGTAGTGACAGTCTAGGACAGGATGCTTCTTAAATGCGGTCATGCACTTGGCCTCCAAAATTTGTGGTGCCCATAAGCCAGCATAAGAGCTGGCACCCAGCCCTTTCTCCTGCAGTGTGGCCTGCAACTACCTGAAGTCCCCTCTCCACCTGGGCGTGGAGGCACCATTTCACACACTGTCCCTAGGGGCCCAGCAGCCCATATCTCTATAGTGTCCATGACTGACTTTGGTCTCCATTCTGGTTGGCTTCAGACACGGCAAGTTTTGGAGGAACTGACCGAGCTCCCAGTGATGGTTGAACTTGCTAGCGATTTTCTGGACAGGAACACGCCTGTGTTCAGGGATGACGTTTGCTTTTTCATAAGCCAGTCAGGTAAGGGATACAGGTGTGTGTTAGTTCCTCTCAGGGCTCTGTCCTCTGGTTAACACACTATTCATCTACCTTCCTTCTTCATCTGGTGAAGTTCTCTGCACATGGACCATGTGCCACGCTCTCTTGTGCCCAGGGACAATTAACACTCAGAGCCATCACTGTCCCATTTGATGGGGAGGACCATACAACCACAGCTTCTTCCTCCTCCTGCCGTTCTAAGTTCAGGACTTAAGGGAATACTTACCAAGGTGCTCATAAATATGCGTTGGGCTTAATTTAGAGGAGAGAAAGTTCTTTAAAATTCTAGGGGTTGATAGTCACTTCGAGGACTGTGTGGATGCTGTGCAGTCCCCATCCCCACACTGTCCATCAGGGAGAGGCATGGAAAGACACTGCTGGGTGCAGAGTCCAGGGCACCCTCAACAAATCCTGCCTGGGTGCCATCCTAACACTAGGCCTGGGCATTTGGTCCAGCCAAGCCAGGCAGAGGGTTAGGGAAGTGATCCACGGCAGTATGTTCAGAGGCCCTATGAGCTCTAGGATGCTATTCTAAACATTTAATTATGGTAAATTCCAAAGCTCCATAAAGGTGGAGAGATTCACAAAAGGAGTCACCTAGCCTCAGTAGTGACCCTCAACAACCCCTCCCCTCCACTGGGTTGTTTTGGAGTCAATGCCAGACATCATGTTACTTCATCCATATATACTTCATAATCCATATGTACACCCATAAATACTTCTAAATAATAAAAGAAAAACAAAGTTGTGATGTCAGTATCACAATGAAAACATTAACAGCAATGCCCTAATATCTACTGGGACTTAACAGTATGCTTCTATTTTATACTTTTAATACCATTTCCATTTCAATGGCAAACTTTAAAAATCTAACACAGACACAGTCACTATCTGACCGATCACCTCGTACCCAGGAGCTGTAATGTGACTTTAGTTGCCAATGTTGGCGTTGCGTGTACGATCCCATCCAAACCTAAAAATGTCTCATGAGTTGGTGGGAGCCACCAACCAATGACAGCAGAATTGGCTTTAATGGGAAATCATGCTGTGGCACAAAGGGGGTTTAAAGTTTCATTCTGTTCAGCTCTTTCATTAAGTTAAAAGAATACTGTATCAATGACTGGGAAGCAGGGCTGATGGAGACAGAGCCATCCTGTTCCCACCTCCAAGACCCAAGCCCCTTCAGCGCTGAGGAAGAGCCGCACAACATCCCAGGGCGCTACCTACACATCTGAAGAGGAAAAGGGAAGTGGGTGGTTTAGTTAGCACTGGCCTGCCTGCAGGAAGAGCTGGGAGAGCCACGGCCAAGAGCAGTGGCTGCGTGGACACTGAATGAGTTTGATGTTGTGGTCAGGATTGTATTTGCTTAGGTGTGAGCTCTTCAGGGCCTACAAACATTGGGAGTTTGTGCTGGTTTCTTTGTGAACACAGGTTTAAGTAGGTTTACTATAAAAATAATTTGAGGTCACCCTGGGAGGCTGCAAGAAGTGTTTTCCTTCGAAACAAGGTTTGAGAAATGCCATTTAGGGGCACTGTCTCTTTTTAAATGTTAAATCTCAGCAAGTTGTGAATGAGGCAGTGAGGAGGCCTAGGGGGACACTGGGAGCCAGGCCCACTTGAACCGTCCCGGCTCTGAGTGGCATGGCCTTGAGCAAGAGAGGCATTGATTTCTTCTGTCTCTGAGGCACCTCATCCTCAGCAGGAAGTGGGGACAGTGTGGCCCCCATGGAGTTGCTATGATCGTTCGGTGAAGCAGTGGGTGAGAAAGTGCTCTCCGCAGAAATAGAAGCAAAACTTGAATCTAAGAAACAACCACAAAAATTGCTGAGTGTGCATTTTCCTTTCTGAGCACAGCCGGCCGTGTCCGGGCCCCAGTTTTTGCTTAAGAGGAGAGAGTAAAGGAGTCTGGAGGCGGGGGCGCTGGGGGTTAGAGCTGGCAGAGCCACGCGCCTGTGAGCACGGCACTGAGAGGCAGGGCCCATGTGGCAGGCGAGACGGCTGACACCCTCCTGGCGCTGCGTTACTGTAAAGACCGGCGGGCGCTGACCGTGGGCGTCACCAACACTGTGGGCAGCTCCATCTCCCGAGAGACTGACTGCGGGGTCCACATCAACGCGGGACCAGAGATCGGCGTGGCCAGCACCAAGGTAGAAGGAGCCGTGTGTGCCAAGGGCAGGTGGAGGGGAGGCCACTGGGGCCCAAGGACCTGCCTCCTGTCCCGGCTCTGCCAGCACCACCATCTTGTCACAGGCGTATACCAGCCAATTCATCTCCCTGGTTATGTTCGGTTTGATGATGTCCGAAGACCGAATTTCACTACAAAACAGAAGGAAAGAGATCATCCACGGCTTGAGATCTTTACCTGGTATGTTCCAGACCCAAACTTTCCTTACTTTCAAATCCTTATTTTCCTTATCTTCAAAGTGGGCTCTTCTTGGTTGCTCTGTCCCATAAACGAGGTTGTCCATCACTCCTCTCCCAGCCCAAATCTCCCTTCTCACCACTAAGTGTCTCCAGAAGCTCTCCCACTGGGCCAAGATTAGAGTCCACACTCCTCACCAGGCCTGGAGCTCAGTGTGCTGGGCCCAACAGCCTCTGACCTCATCCCATGCCCTCCCATCCCTGGGCCGCCTCACTGACCTCCTGATCTTCAGCAAGCCAAACTCTTTCCACCGTAGGGCCTTTGCACTGGCTATTTCCTTACAGAAACCCTCTTCATGCAGATGGCTTCTCATCCCTCAAGTCTCAGCTCAAACGTCACCTCCTGGGGCCCTTCCCTGGCCACCCTAACTACCTACCTGCCCCAGTCTCTATGAAACATTAGTCCATTTCTTTTCTTTGTAGCACATGCCATGATCTGATATTACCTGTTCACCAATAGACTTGGCTTGTACCCCCTAACTGACATCTCAGCCCAGTGAGCATAAAACTCTGTCTGTTGGAATTGCTGCTGTTACCTGGTGTCCAGCCAGGCCAGGCATACAGTAGGTGCTCAGGAAATACCTGAGGAGGAGCCTTTTCCTGTCCCAGACTCACAGTGTGACCAAACTTTCCTCTTTTGCTACTGGGCCCCGTCTGTTGTAGTCAGTGAGATACAAGGTCTGTCACATTCATTCATTCATTCATTCATTCACCACACATGTGCCAGAGCCAGCTGTGTGCCTTGCCTGGGCACCATTCTGGGACTACCAAGATGGTGGTCACTTGCACTGTAGGGAAGGAAAGGACCTGTTGGGCTTTCTTTGGGCAGCCCTTAGAGTGTGCAATGGGACAGAGCCCATGGCTGACACAGAGCCAGCGCTGGGGGCAGGATGGCCCCAGAGCTGTGGGGCAGCCTTTCCCAGAGACAGGCTGGCACAGGCTCTTCCCAGGGAGCAGGGAGCAAGCCCCAGAGAAGGCAGTGAGGGAAAGCCACCATCCAATCCTGCAATGCCTAGGGAACCAAATCTGGCCAAGACTGCATACTGAGAATGTTCTGACGAGGAAAGCATTCCTAACTTGAAGCTGGCACAAGCAGGACCCCATTGTGATGTCGAGCAGGCATATCCCAAGATGTGGCCCTATTTTGATAGTAATACCTTATCTATAATAAATCAGACTTGTTTGCTTTTTTTGCCACGTGGGCATTTGCAGAGGCGGGGTAGCCACCGCTGGTGCCTTAGCAGAGGCACCAAACCACTCTCATGACCCCTGTGCTCTTCCCTACCTCACGCCCAGCGTCACTTGAGAATGTCCCTAGTGATGCTGTAAAATGCATTGGTCTTAATTAAATTGCAACCCTTCTAAAAATACTCTCTGTGTCGAAATGGGAAGCCTGGGTGAAGCACTTCTGCTACACTGCCAGGTACGATTGTCCTGTCCCTGAGAAGCCCCTGCTACTGTTTGAGTGACATGCTGACTTGGGCACTGGGTGGACATTTTCCGAAAGGGCAACAAAGTTAGCCCGACCCTTCAAGAAAAACAACGGACAGTGTTAGTGTTACCAATGATAAATGCTGAGCTTTGCAGAGAAACAGGATTTTGGAAAACCTAGAACCATCAGCATGTGCTTGACCACTTCCCTCCATTTAAATGACATCTGCCATGGAGTCATGATGATTTTAACAAATGTAATTTTCAAAGAATATTTTATAATGGGATGTGTCCATTTTTAGAAGGTGTGCGTAACTCAGTGAATTAGTATTTTCCAAATGGCCAAGGCATCTGGTTAAAAAATTATGCATGTGTAAAAAGACCCATCTAAATAATTACACAATAGACCAAGAAATTCTAATATAACAAGGTAGGAAATGTAAATTGATACTATTTCAGATTTCACATTTGCAACTACTCTTCTATGAATGACCACTTCTTGAGTTTGATGTAGTAACTAATAAGAACATTCACAATTCTTTGAAAAAGTTACTGAAATACTTCCTTTTCCAACTACAAATCTCCAGGAGGCTGAATTTTCTTCCTGTGCTTCAACAAAAAGAACACATCACAACAGATTGAATGAGGAAGTAGATTTGAGAATCTTTCATTAAAAATATTTGCAAAAATGTTAAACAATGCTACTCTTCTAATTTTAAAAATATATAATGGGTTTAATAATATATAATATTATTATCTTTAAATGAATGGATACTTTTCTAATATTTTTTTCTTCATACCTAATCTGGTATAACCCACACAAACAAAGGCTCTTAGGGATTCCCAAAAATTTTCAAGAGTGTAAATAAGTTCTGAGACCAAAAAGTTTGAGAAGCACTGGTCCAATTTACACACATAGCAAGTGGCCTGGGTGAGGAACAATCGTTTGGGGTATCAGCTCTGGTCGGCTAGCTGGCTAGTCAGCCTCTCTGAGCCACAGTTGCCTTACCTGTAAAACGGAGCTAGAAACAACACCCCTACTTACCTTACATGAATGCAGGAAAGTATGAACACAAATATGAATTACCGTCCCAACAAAATGCCAGCCAGCAACCCATTATTGCCTGTAACGTACGATTAAAATCCTTGTAGACTTAATGCAAAGAAACTAAGTGTGCCAAGTGATGTGAGTTTCAAAACCGTGTTCTATACCATGATTTCTCTTTGTGAATCTTTTTCCAAAATCTGCACGACTGACTCTCCCGCTCTGCTGCGTGCGTGACTTAGAACTGATCAAGGAAGTGTTGTCGCTGGACGAAAAGATTCACGACCTGGCCCTGGAGCTCTACACGCAGAGGTCGCTCCTAGTCATGGGGCGGGGCTACAACTACGCCACGTGCCTGGAAGGGGCGCTGGTGAGGCCCCTCTGCCCCACCTCCACCAGCCCCGGCATGAGGCAGGAACCACTGGGGAGGGCAGGGCAGTGAGCAGGGGACAGGAGGGCTCAGGGACCCGCTGGCCACCCCGTGAGGCAGCATTAGCTCGGATCAGGTGTTCCCTCTGAGGATTCTGAGATGGGGCCCCCGATCTCCTGAGAAAGGGGACGGGCATCCTTGGGTGATTCCCCGAGGCATCAGCCTACACCAGGCTCCATCCGGGATATCCCTTTCACACCTCATGAGCATCTTCTACCTGGCTGGCAGTTACTGTCTGCATTTTACCCAGGAGGAAGCTAAGCCTCCAAAAGGTGCATCTTGCTGTGGGAGAGAGTGATTAGTCTGACATTCAAACTCAGGTTCCTTGCTTTTATGCACGAACACAAGCAGCCTGTATGAGGGTGGAGGTGGGGCTGGTGCAGATCAGAATTGCTTGGTGGGAGTCTCTGCAGAATTCCCTGTTACCCCTCAAACTTCCCGGGAGAACTAAGATCCTGCAGGAATGAGCTTTGAAGGCCTTGCCTTTTTTAAATCCATGAACTGGCTGTTTGGGGCCCTCTAGCAATAAAGGTCTGGTCCCACCCAGGGTAAGAGAGAGTTGGTGGAGCCCGGGCAAGTTACCATGATGACAGGGCTACCAAGAGGGTGGACAGTGCTCTTCAGGGAGCTGAATCTGTTGCTTCTCTACTCACTGTTGCTGTTCATGGATGGGAATGCTCAACCAAGGTGACTGGAGACAGTGTCCCAGGTGAGGCAGGGCTTGGTGCCCAGGCAAAGGAGCCACCCATAACCCAGCTTGGCTCCCCTCCTCTCCCTATGGGAGCAAGGGGACCTTCTTTCCCCTCCTCCCCTACCTTCCCCATTTGAAAAACAATGTTTGTTGCAAGTGGTTCACCAAAAACCTCAGAGAGCTTCACAAGTGGTGGGATGCGGTGGGCGCAAGCCATAAGTTGCCTGACCCACAGTGAGCTCCAATTTCCACAGTCTTCCAATGAGATTCTGACCCCGCCCAAAGGAAGCGAGGGGCTGGACATGCTGCTTTGCAGGCAGCACGTAGAAGCAAGGCCTGGGTGGGGTCCCCGCACAGTGCCTCCCTGTCCCCATGCCCCTGCTGCCTGGGTGGGGGTCAGCTGAGCGCCTGAGTGCACTGGTGAAAGATGCACATTCAACAGCATCTCCAAATCAGTCTTTGGGGAAAGAAAGAAGCTTTTAGCTGCTGCTGGAACAAGTCAATGACCCCTCTGTGGTCACTTGGGGCCGGCACTCCAGCTGTCGGTGGCCTCCAGGGTGGAGGCACACTCCTGACAGTGTTCCTTGAGGCAAATAAATAGTTCCAGAGAAGCTGAGAAATGTTTTTTTCATTTCTCACAGTGATGTGAACTTAATGGTAACTGAATAGAAATGGATCTGCCTAAACATGGGGGAAATGCCTATATCAGCCCAGTGTGTATACTTTTCTGGCTGATAGGTACATTGGAGCAACCCTTTGGAAGCTATTAATGGTTTGGAATTGTGGGAAATGATTAATCCTTTAACTGAATGAAGGAATATCTAGGCAGAATACAATGCCATTACTACAAATTATAGCTGCAGGAAGGTCCAGGGGCTGGCCACCGAGGGGGAAGGGGGAAAGCTACATTGATACTGACTTGTCCATCCAAGAGGGGTAGCTGCACCTGCGGCTGGTATCGGGACACAGGCTGTGCACTGGGCCTGGTGCGTGCTCTGGGCACAGCCAGCCCTCTCCCTGGCCCTGGCCTTGCCAGCTGCCCTGGTGCTGTTGGCCTCTCCATGCACCCGTCTGCTTGCAGCCTTCCACTCCCTGCCTCTGGCTGCTCTGTGGCAGCCCATCTGCCCACGGTCACCCTGATCCTACTTCGTGTTTCCCCAGAAAATTAAAGAGATAACCTACATGCACTCAGAAGGCATCCTGGCTGGGGAGCTGAAGCACGGGCCCCTGGCACTGATCGACAAGCAGATGCCCGTCATCATGGTGATAATGAAGGACCCTTGCTTTGCTAAATGCCAGAACGCCCTGCAGCAGATCACAGCCCGCCAGGTGAGGGTTCTCAGCTGGGCTGATGGCCCTCCCTCCTGTTCTCTTTCACATAAACCCCCCTTACCCACTGTCTGCCAGTGGTTCTGCCAGTGAGTGTGTGACATCACCCTCTTTCCTGGGCCACCTCCTGAGTGGAGCAAACATTCAGAAAGGGGCTGGCCAGCCTGGGACCATGCCCACAGCCCCTCCTCAGCAAGGTACAGTGACCCAGGTTGCCTGGAGCTGTTCTGGATCCCTGGGGGCATGGGAACCTGAGGAGGTATGCCTGGTGGAGAGCCCTGGGGGCAATTCTGATGCTAACAACCCAAGTCAGGGCAGATTTCACAGGTGGAGGGCATGGTTCTCCTCAAGATGGCCTTTGCTTCAGCCGCTGGCTGCCACTCAGATGCTTCCAAGCCACCCACATTTCTGTCCAACTGGATACAAATTTGGGAGTTCCCACTACCCCTTCAGGTTTAGTAATTGCCTAGAATAGCTCATAAAACACAGGAAAGCATTATATTGCTACTACAGTTTTATTATACAGGACATAGAGCAGGACCAACCAGAAGAAGAGACACAGGGCAGGGGTCCCCAAATTCGAAGCTTCTGTGTCCTCACGATGCTTCATCCTCCCTGTACAACAGTGCGCATCACCCAGCAGGGCCTTGTAGGAGCTTCTGCCTTCTACCTCCGGCATCCAGCATTTTTATCGGGGTTTCATTACATAGGCCCAATGGATTGAATCATTGGCCAGGTGATAGAACCCGATTCCCAGCCCCTCTTCCAGCCCCAGAGGTGGGAAGCCAGGCTGATGCCACGTGGGTCAGAGCCCAGCCCTCTAATCAATGGGGCATCTTCCTGGTCTGCTCAGCCCCCACCCTGAAACCATCTAGGATCCACCAGGAGTACCTCGTTAGCATGAACTCAGGTGTGGTCTCAGGGACCCGCTGTGAAAAACAGTCACTTGGGAAAGCCCTGCGTTTGGAGGGAGGTGCCCTTGAGCCAGCGGCTGCCACATCTGACCCAGCACCATGGTCAGAGAGAAGTCATGACACAAACCGTGTCACCTGGCTTAGACCCGGTGGCTCCCCACCAAACCCCAGTGACCGCAGGTGTGCACCCTCCAGCCCCTTCCTGTTTCTCACTCACGCCAAGCTGACTTCTGCCTCTGCACCTTGGCAGGCTGTCTTCTCTTCCCACATGCCTTCAGAGCACTGGCCTCTCACCATACAGGTCTCCATCCAAATGTCTCCTCTTTAAAGAGGGCTTCCCCGCTGTCTCTCAACCATGTTACCGTATTTCTTGCCTCTGTGGCGTTCTTCTGAAATTCATCATGATCTGTTGGTTTACTTGTTTGTGTTCATTTTCCACCACTCAGCTGTGAGCCCCACTAGGGTAAGGAGGGGGTGTGCCCTCACCTCTGCAAGGCCCACCAACACTCAACCAACAGGTGCTGAATGGAAGTGGCAGGGTGATGATCACCCTCCCAGGGAAGGAGAGAAACTCACCCAAAAGCATTAACGCTTCATGCTCTTCACAAATCGTTCACATCGCCTCCCCCATAATCCCAGCAAAAACAGAAGTTTGCTGTTATCACTGCATTAATGTTAATTTCAGAGACCCTGCTGCGTATAAGGGGACAATCTGCATTTTGTTGTCCTATTTCTCTGCTTTAATTTTTTTTCCTCGAATGACTTTTTGTAATTTGTTTATTTAATTTTTAAATTGAAATATAGTTGAAAAGCAGTTGACATACAGTATTGGTTTCCAGTGCACAACATAGTGATTCAGCAGTTGTGTACATTGCAAAATGCTCACCATGATGAGTGTAGTTATCATTTGTCAACGGAGAAGGATATTACAATATTCCTGACCATACTCTCCATGCTGTAGTTCTCATCCCAATGACTTACTTATTTTATAAATGGAACTGTGTACCTCTACTTCCCCTTCACCTATTTCACCCATTGCTCTCTCTGCTTCAGGGTCGCCCAATTATACTGTGCTCCAAGGAGGACACTGAAAGCTCCAAGTTTGCGTATAAAACAATCGAGCTGCCCCACACAGTGGACTGCCTGCAGGGCATCCTGAGTGTGATTCCGCTACAGCTCCTCTCCTTTCACCTGGCTGTGCTCCGAGGATACGACGTACGTCCAAACCGGCACCTAGCCCAGCCAAGAGGAAAATCGTTAACAAATTTAGTATCTGATTCCAGTGCATGTGAATTTTTTCCTTGTGCTTGTAAATTTTTAAACAGTTTTCAAGATTTTATCAAAGACGAAATGTTGCATCTTCCTTTTTTATACAGGCATACCTTGTTTTATTGCCCCCTTTTTTTTTCACTTGGCTAATACTGTGTTTTTTACAAATTGAAGGTTTGTGGCAATTCTGTTGAACAAGTCTATTAGCACCAGTTTTCCAAAGTATTTGCTCGCTTTGTGTCTGTGTCACATTTTGGCAACACTTGCACTAGTTCAAACTTTTCCATTATGGTGATCCATGATCAGTGATTACAACTTGTTGAAAGTTCAGGTGATGGTTAGATTTCTTAGCAATAAAATGTTTTTAATTGAGGTATACATTAATTCTTAGACAAAGCATTATTGCATACTTAATAGATGACAAACAATACAATGTAAACATAACTTATGTGCACTGGGAAACCAAAAGATTCATTTTACATGCCTTATTATGATAGTCACTTTATTGCAGTGGTCTGGAAGCAAACAGCTATATCTCCAAGGTTTGCCTGTATGTAACAAGTATTTTTTCACATCTTGAACTTATAGTAAGCAACATTTAACTGTTGCACAGTATTCCACTACGATCTTATAACATGGGTTTTAACAATTACCTAGCCAGTCTTATTTAAACTGTTTCTAATCTTTTGGAACAGTGCATAAATAACAACTGCTGTGAACATCTTTGTGCATTTCTCTTTCTCCCATGTTTGAGATTTGTCTTTAGTCTAGCAAGTGACTAAACGTTTTGAGAGTCCTCACATATATTGTCAATGTATGTTCCAGAAAAGAACCAATTTACCAGCTCATCCTCCAGTATGTAAGAACATCCAGTTCATTGTGCAAGAATAGGAGTTTTATTACAGTTTCATTTTGAGAAGCTTTTAAAAGTGCATTAACAATGCAAAAAATGAGATAGCAAACATCTGATATATATCTAGAATTGACATTTGCTAACATTTTTTCATATTTGTTCCTTCCCTTTTCTTAAACATTATTATAAGTGAATAAGACATTGCAGTTAAAGTTGAAGCCTACTTTATCAGCCATCCCAGGTCACATTTCCTTTCCGCAGCCCCCACGCTAAGCTAAAAGGCTTTGTGGATTTTCATCAATATTCTAACAAGGGAAGTGAATATTTAACAGCACAAACTGAGGTAGCTGTTTAATGGCACAAATCATATCCTTTTAATAGTGTTAGCATAGCATGACACGTCCATAAATGTTCATTGAATGAACTAAACATTATACAGTGAGTGAGAATCTGGAGTAAGGAACCACTTCCAAGATGCAGGTATCAAGAGCTCACTGTTACAGGTGATCAGGCACACCTGTCTGCCTGCCATCCGGTCCACCAATAACAGACTTCATAATATGGAGTGTGGCTGGCATCTGTGGGGTCTTGAGCAGCTACTTTCTATCGTTTCAGGTTGACTTCCCCAGAAATCTGGCCAAGTCTGTAACTGTGGAATGAGAACAACAGCTTGAGGAGGCCATGACCACCTGCAGTGTGGTTCAAGACCGGTCCCAGCGACGCCAAGCAGGAAGATCAGCCAGCATTCTGCATGTTCTGAGTAGATCCCAGTAGCGCTTGACAGCTTTGATGTGCCTTTGTACCCAAGTGCTTTGCTTACAGCAGATACTGTTTCTCTGTGTCCTGAAGTTGCCAGAGGAGAAGGGAATCATTGTTTACACATGGGATCAGAGCAGACTTTTCCACTACTGTGCAATAGAGATACAGCTCTTTTCAGAGTTACTGTGAACCTTTTTTAACCAACACTAGTTAGTTTTGAGAAACGAAATATTTATAATGACGATTGTATAGCTTCTAAGTTATTTTTCTAGTATGTGGCTTTCTGTAGCCAAGGTAACACCCAGACCATGCACCCCGGCTACCTGGTGCCTCCAGGCTCCCAGAGGTGGCATTCATCTCAGCAGAAGGCCTTGCCCCTCTGGACTCCCCCTTTCTTGCCCTCTTTTGGCTGCTCCTGAATCCTCTCCTAACACCAGGGAAGCCCCCTCACCATCTCTTATGCTGTCTCTTAAGTCCCATCGAAATCTCAGCATCCTTCTACAGTTTCTTGTCTAAATCCCTCCAACACTCCAACTTGTGTTTAATCTGATCGTGAACCTTTTTAAGCCCAGCCAGAATTTTGGTCCCTACTGTTGCCCATTGCAAACAGATGGAAACATCCCATGCAAAGTAGTTTGAAGCAGGCTACCTTGCCCTCTATTAAGAGCGTGCACTATCATGTACTATGCAATTTTAAGACAATAAAGACACTACAATTTTTTTTTGTCTTGTGCATTTAGGTTTTTGTTAATCTCATTCATTCTGTGTACTTGGATTTCGAGAGCTCCTCAAAACAGGGACTCAACAGTGTCTGGTGGAAGCAGCCCTGTTTGCTCATTAGCCACTGGCACTCCTGAAGCTGCTGGACTGGCCTCCGCTTTCCTGTCGTTATTACTTGTATTTTCTGCTCTAATTGGGAGATGTCCTCAGTTTGCTCACCCAACCTGTCTACTGCTAAGATATTTCATTTCTGCCAACACAATTTCCAAGAGCTCTTTTTTTGCTCTGAACATACATATTTATAGTAATACATATATTTAAAATAAACCACAATCCATACTTTATTCATATTTCCTTAGTTTTTATCCAGTGTCCTTTTTCTGCTGTCCTTTTCCTGACTCCACATGACATGTCTCCTTAGGCGCCTCTTGGCCATAACAGGTTTTCAGACTCTCCTTGTTTTGATGACCTTGACAGTTCTGAGAAACACTGGTGGGACATTCATAGAATGTCCCTCGATTGGGTTTGTCTGATGCTTTTCTCATGGTTAGATTGGGGGTATACGTTTTGGGGAGGAAGAGCCCAAAAGTAAAGGACCACCCATCACCTCCCGTCCAGGATATATACGATCAACATGTCTTCTCATGCTTATGTTGACCTTGGTCACGAGTCTGAGGTGGTGTTTGCAGGTACTCTGATTTTCCCCTCTTCCCATACCTTTTTATCCTTCCCACCCTCTCTGGAAGTCGCTCTTCCCATCCCACACTTGAAAAATAAGAATGTACAAGTGTGAAGAGTAAGAGTCACCTCTTTGAAAAGGAAGTGTCTACACATTTATTTGAAATTCAGTACACAGTCTGTTCTTCCCCATTTATCTTATTAAGCCATTCATTTCTATTAGCATGAACTCACAGACATCCATTTTATACTTTGAGTTGTAACAATAGTGTTATTTTGTTGCTCAACGTGTCCCAGCTGCTGCCATTGAGAGCTCTTCCAAGTTGGCTCTTGAGTTCCTTGGACACACCTCCTTCCGTGTGCGCGCGTGTGCGCGCGTGTGCGCGCACTTTGTAAGCATTTCCTTATTTTCTTGCACTACAGGATACTCCAAGCTCATCTTGCATATTTCTGCCCCAGCCCTACAATCAGCCACTGCTCATTTAGGACCCCCAGGTCCTTTCCTGGAGAATGGCACCCAAAAACAACTCCTGGGCTCTGGCCTTTGGCTACTGGGATGTCGTTACTTCTAGGCCATCCCAGCTAAGAGAGCAAGGACATAGGTCTGTGCTGAGTATTTTTTTTAATGGCCGGTTCTTGTTAAAAGGATGCAATATTTTTTCATGTTCTCTGAAGCCTACAATATTTTTTTTCCTTTTGACACTTCCTTTTTCACAGTCTCTGCTGCTTTCAAGGTGCATTTTTCTATTTGATTCTGTTTTCTTTGCCTTGTGACCTTGGGCTGTCCAGTCTGACTCAAAGTGGGAGGAAAGTTCTGAGCACACGGTGCAGCCTGCTGAGGCCGAGTGCACCTCTGGACACCCGGGGGAAAGTTTCTGGGGAGGAGGCAAGAGGAGGGTCAGGTTTTTCCTTTAGGCTCCAGGGCTGGTCAGACTGTCGGAGAAGAGCTTTCCAGTCTCTTGCCTGAGAAGAAGCACACATTGCTGCTTCCCTGGGAGATGGGTGGAAGAGGAGTGCCAAGGGCCCCAGCACTCAGCGCTCAGTGATGCAGCCACCCCACAACCCTGTGTTCACACAACACTTCAGCTGTGCCTGGCTCATCTGGCCTCTTTCTTATCACCAGACTAAACCCCCAGATGTCTGCCTTTCCCAACTATTGCCCTTTCTCCTCTCAAGTCCTCACACGGGCCTGACTGCGCAGCCCCAGGGTGGAAGCCCTGTCCAGGGGGACCATCAGAGTCCACCTCTGGGGTTTCAATCTTGGTTTGGGACAGAGGGCCCAGCTGCTTGGGTGGTGGGAGAGCAGGTGGCACGGGAAGGAAGCTGACCCAGAGGAGGGAAGACTGATGGCTTCCAGGGCCTGGGCCCAGAGTGTGAGCCTGCGGTCCTGAGGCCGGCTCCAGGCGTGACAGTGGGGGGACCTCCCAACAATCACCCCCATCGGGTTAAGTGCAGCTTGGCTTTCCAAACCGCACAACTGAAACAGTTGATCTGCACCTCCTGGCACATCTATGGTCCTGCTCGTATTGAGGAGAGGAGAGAGTAGGGGAGAAGGGGGAAAGCAGGTAAGGTGTGGAGGGAGCAGAAGAGGCCAGCACAAGGACAGTCACCCTCCAGCGTGCATGTTCTGTGCCTTGCACCTGGTAACTTCTCTCGAGTCCCCACAGCATCCCCATCAGGCTGCCTCACCACCCCTGCCCTCTCCCCACAGAACTGAGGCTCAGAGAGGTGAATCTCTTACCCAGAGGAGCACAACTAGGTGAAGAGTCCTATTGGAACCCAGTCAAGGCCAGTCAAGGGTGGACAATGAGATTGGAGCCATGGAACCTGTCACACTGTGGCCCTAAACAAGCCCCCCATATGTCTTGGTCCCCTCAGCCCAGGGAGTGGGGTTCCAAGCTCTGCCTCCCACCTGCTCTCTTCTCCCTGGTGAAGAGGCCCTTGTGGAGTGGAGAGGTGGGCAGTGTCTGCCAGCTGCACCATCAGGGTGCTAGGTCCAGGGCAGGGAAGGGAGGGGAAGTGAGGTCTCAGGAGGAGGGAATAGCTGGTGGCCTCCATCCCAGAGAGGACACAGCCAGGGCCCCAAAGCTGAAGGTGACAGGAAAGGGAGAGGCAGGTGACCAGCTCAGAAGGCAGGCTCAAAAAGGCCTTCCTCTCAGCAGAAGGGTGAGCAGGCCAAGGACAGAGGTCCCCACTCCAAGCCAGGAACAGGGACATCTTCCCTGATTCCTCCCCCTCCTGCACCCCCATGTCCCACCTCTAAGACTGACAATTTTGCCTCTAAACAGACTTTTTTCCTTAGATTGTTTATTTTACTCAAATTTACATACAGCATAATTTACACACATTACCACCTTTTTCTCAAGTGCACAGTTCTGAATTTCCACAAATATATAGTCACATGACCCCCACCATACTATATAGAGAGTATACCCATCATCCCCCAAAATTCCATCAGGGCTCTTGGTAATAATCACTTCCCTTTCCTCTTGACCTTCTGGGACCACTGATCTGATTAAGTTCTTTCAGAATGTCATATACGCGTAATCACAGAGGGTCTGGTCTTGCTCGGCTTCTGCCACTTAGTGTGTTTTGCTTACTTTATCCCTGTTGTGCACTTGGCAGCAGGTCAGTCCTGTCGCCAGGTAATATCCCACCGTATGGATGTGCCACAGTTCATTTAGCCATTCACCAGAATATGGACATATGTGTGTTTCTAGTTTTTGACTGTTTTGAATAAATCTGCTATAAACATTCATGTACAGCTCTGTGTGGACATGCTTTTCTTTCTTTGAATACATATACAAGAATGGGATTGCTGGGTGGTCTGTCAGGTACATGATTAATGTTACCAGAAACTGCCAAACAATTCTCCAAAGTGGATATACCATTTTGCTTTCCCACCAGCAGTGTCTGAGAGTTCCAACTGCTCAGCATCATCACCACTTTCAGTCTTTTTTATTGAGCCATCCCATATGCATGCACAATGCTTGCGGGTACTCACTTTGCGTTGGGTGGGTGGTTGTAACTCATTGTGACTTTAATTTGCATTTCCATAAACTCTTGGAACAGTTTTAAAATAAATTCCTTCCTCCTGACCCTTGTCCCAGGCCAGGCTTCATCTTCTCTTACAAGGGCCTATGCAACAGCTTGATAACTTGTCTTGTGGCCTTAAGCCCCTACTCTCTGAAACTTCATGTGCCCTAGTGATCTTTCCAAAATAAATACTTAATTGCATCACTCGCTTCCTTTCTTAACACCCTTGAACAGCTGCCCTTTGCCTCGACGGTTGGGGGCCCCACCCTGCAATGTCCCAGCCACCAGCAGATAAGGGATAGTGAAGTTTCAGGCCACATGTGGGTAATAGGGAGTGGTGGGGACTATGGCAAACTAGGGGCCTCACCTAAATGGGCCGCTGCCAATCAGTTCCAGCTGACCACTATCCCTGGGAGTTGGGCCCCATGTTGTGAGACCTACAAACTATTCAAGAGAAACCAACAATTGAGATTTTTCAAGCAAATATTCCCAATTTTTAAATGTTGACAACTAAGCCAATTTAAAAAAAAAGTCTCTGAGCTAAACAAAGCATATCAGTGAGCCCAAGCCAGCCCATAGGCCTCCAGTCCCCAGTGTCAGTCGACCTCAAAGCCTTCATAACTTCACTTTTCCCTCCCCATCTCCAGCAAGACCAGGTGATGTGTGGTTCCCAGAACACAGCACCCAGGTCCTCACCTCCTCACCTTTGCATCTGGGTGCCCTTTCTACCTAAACTATAGGCCTAGCTATTCTTGCTTGCTTTCCAGCCTCAGCTGGGCCTCCTCCTGCCCAGGGGCCCTCCCTCAACTGTCTCTCTCCACCTGGCAGGCTAGATCAGCTGTCAGTCCTGCTCATGTGTTCCCCCACCCCCCAAATTCTCATCACACTTGTGGCAGGGTCTTCTCACTTGTCAGCCTCAACCAAAATTCTGTGCACTCTTCCAAACAAGGGACTAGACCCTATGCACCCTGTCACCTCAGCTTTGTGTCCATAAACGTTCACTGGTTCATAAACCAGAGAAAGGCAGGATCTGCTCAGAAAATCAGCCTGAAGTATGTCGAGGTGCATCTGCGCACACGAATTTTGGTACTCGCTTTGCATGCAGTGAGTGCTGTAAACTCAGGGCTGGAGTGTGTCTGGGGACAGGAGCCCCTGCCTAATCTGAGAGGAAGCACCCAGGCCTGCCCCTTGGTGAAACGCTGCTCTGGCTGCCCGGCGTCACCAGTTTGCCATAATTCTTGATGGGAGCAATGTGGGCTCCATTACCTGTTGTGCCGGTGACGGGCGAGGCGGAGGTGACGATGAGTGTGGACTGAAGCTCTCCCCTAGGACCTCCTCAATGCAGGCCACACTCTGGAGCTACAATTTCAGCAGGGATGGGCCCTACACGGCGTCAGAAAACTCCCTCTGGTGGCCAAGGTGGGGAGTGGCCTACGAAGGACACCCCGGCTAGATCGCTTCCTCTACCTCAGACCTCCTCTGAGGCCCTGCGCTTCCAGCAGGACCTGGGTCATGGGGATCGCCACCCTACCCGAATTCTGCCACCACTTGGCCCCTGACCTTCCCCACTGCAGAGTCCGGCTCCTTCCCAGTCTGGACGCCGGCCCTGGTCACCCTGTAGGTTTGGCATCCTGTAAGGGCTGCTCCTCCTCCACAGGCCCCTCCTCTCCCCCTTTCCTAGGCCCAACTGCCCCCACCTCGCCCACAGACCCCTGAGCTTTTCCCCAGACTGTCCAGCGTCCTTGCCTCACTTCCAGTTTTGCTAACCAAGTGGAGATCCTGCAACATCCAAGACCCTGGGCTCTCCCGTGTCTTCACATGACCCCAGTCTCTGAGACCCGACCGAGGGTCCGGAGAGCTGCGGGAGATGACTCAAAAGGTCAGTGTCAACGGACCCCAGGCCGTTGGGGGCCCTCAGCACCCCACCCCCTTCCCGCATTTACCACCCGGCCCTTCTCCTCTGAACCAGAGGTTTGACCCCTGCCCTAAGTGCACCAGCTTGTTCTCACCTCTCCTCTCCTCTGCTACGGAACCCCAAGGACACCTGCGTGCGCGTGGCCCCCTCGCACCCGGCTCCCCCGGCTTCCGGCCGCACCTCTACAAACCCGAGGTCCAAGGGCACCGCAGCAGCCCCTCCCCCGGGGGCCACCACACGCCGGGTTCCTGGACGCCCCGGCCTGCCCTCGCCCTCGCCCCGGCTCTCCCCCGTAACAGGCCGGCTCCGTCCCCCTTCAGGCCTTCTTGCCGCTGCCACCCTGCACCTGCAGCCCCGAGGTCAGCTGTCCGTCCCCTAATCGGCCCTCCAGCCGCCTCCCGGTCCCACGTCCGGCCGCCGCGCCGTGGACCCCCGTGAGGAACGGCAGACTCGGCGGGCTTACGGAGCCGGGGCTCGTCCCCGGCCCCCGGCGCGCACGGTGCAGGCCCGAGCGGAGGTGCGGCCACTGGGCGCCTGGCCGGTCGAACCCGCCGGTAGACGCGGCTCCGCCCGCCGCCCCGCCCGCGCCTCCCGGCAGCGGCCCGCCCCGTAGCTGGATTGGCCGCGCCTGCCCGCCTCTCCGCACGCTGATTGGCCTGCGCGCGGGTCGGTCAGGCCGGGCCCCGCGGCTGCGGCGGCGGCGGCGGCGGCAGAGCTGGGAGCCGGACCGGAAGGGTCGTAGCACCCGGGCGCCCCTCACACCCATTGCGGCGGCGGCGCGGAGCGGGGCGGGGCGGCCGGCCGAGCACGGGGCAGCGGAGCCGCGAGCGGCCAGCGTACAGCGCCGCCAGTCCGCCCTCCCGCTCGCGCGACTGCGGGGAGGCGAGGTGAGCAGGCGGGCGGCTTAGGCCCGGCGGGGGCTGCTCGGGCGGGGCCCCCGGGAGACGGCGGAGGGCGCGCGGCCGGGGCCGCGGGGGCCTCTGCGGGGCAGGCGGGGCGAAGCAGCTGAAGCGGTGCAGCCGCCGCCCCTGTCCTCCGGGCTGCAGCAGTCGCCCGCTCCCGCCCGGCCGTCAGCAGCCCGGGGCTGCGGGCCCGCTCCCCGGCCTGGCCCGGGCCAATCCGCCGCGGGGTCTGCGGGCGCCACCGCTCCCGACTGTGGGCGCCGAGCCGCACACCCGCGCCCGCATGCCCAGGACGCCGGGGTCTGGCTCCCGCGACCTTGGCCGAGGCGCTGACCCTCACTGCTCCTCCGTTTCCCCCTCGGGAACGTGGGGAAATGCCCACTGTTCGGGACAGAGTTGTCGTCAGACTGCGTGGACGTGTGTGAAAGCGCCTTGGCAGGAGGCCAGTGCACGTATGTGCAAAGGGATACTGCCCCTTGCTGGGGTGAGTGCGGCAGGAACCCCCTCCCCACGCGCCCGGAGCCCGCGTCCCCGCGCGCCTCCAGTGCCTCAGCATTGCACACGCAGTGCCCAGCGACGCCAGCGCGGGCCCTGCCCACTTCCCCACCCCTCCACCTCCCCTGCCACTCCCCCACCCAGAGCGCCGCTGTGCCCATCTTCTCTGCTTCCTCGACCAAGCCTACCTGTTGACCTCCGGACCTACGCGCCTGCTCTTCCAGCCCTTGGAGCTGTCGCCGGCATCCTTGCACAGCTAGCTCCTAATGGTCCTCCCCCCGGGTCTTCCTTGACCACTCTCTTTCTTCCCTTAGTGTGTATCACTATTTTGTTTAATTTTCTTCCTAGCGTTCAAAATAGTTTGAAACTGTTCTGTTTATTTGCCTGTTTATTTTCCGTCTCCCTTGCTAGGATGTAGCTTTATGAAAACAGGTAGTTGTCTGACAGGTCTACTGCTTTCTCCCCAGCGCTCAGACAGCACACAGCACGTACTCGGGAATATCAGTGCAGTAGTGAGGGACCCTGCCTGCCTTGTTGCCTTTGCTTTGTCAGTTCATTTAGTGAACTTCGGACCAACTTGTGAGACACATAAACAGATGGGAGCTAGTTCTCATTTTGTGAAACATTTTAATGTCCTTGACCCCCTTTACTTGGTAACAGAGCGAGCTGTGATATAAAATCATAAATTTTTATGATGTTTTAGCTCTAATTTCCTTCCCACATTCAGGAGACATTTCCTGAGTTTTACATTATCTAGGTCAGGCTTTCTGCTGGGCCCTGGGGACACGAAGGCGATAGCAACACGGTCTTGTTGCTTCTGAGCGGAGCAGAGAACACAGACGGGCAGACTTGAGTGCCAGGCCAGCATGACTCGTTGTTGTAGTGGGGGTGACAGGTGGTGCTGCAGCTGGGCCTTGAAGGATGAGGAGAAATTTGCCAGGCAAGAAGAGGCACAGGAGTGGGAAAGGCAGGGCGAGGGAAGCACTTCAGCCCAGAGTTTGGGGTGGGGAATCAGCCTACAGGGCCAGGTGTCAGAGAGCAGGGAGTGGTGGGGACCCTGGAGAAACAGACCTCACCCGGCAATTTTTAAAAAGAAGTCAGAACTCTGAATTTGTATTTCTAATCTCCAGAATTTTAGATGTTGGTAGTAGCTAATTTAAAAAATTCTAATGCTGCTAGCCAGGCAAACTCAGATCTCATTCAGCTTGGTTGCAGGATTGTTGTCCTCCAGGGTAGGTCATGTAGGAGGGAAGAGCTGCAGCAGGTAGCTGGAGGCCAGAGGAGCTGGTACCTATTTACCCTGGTACCTTCATTTAATTGTCACTGGAGCCCTGTAGTAGCAGCTGTGACACCCATTTCTGCAGAGGAGGAAATGGAAGCAGCTGGAAAGGGAAATTTGAACCCAGGTCTTTCCCAGATTGGCATTCTTTCCTGGCTTCCTCAGCTCTGAGTATTCTCTGAGTATTTAATTTGTTCTGGAAGAACAACTTCCGATCTAGTTAATGGTTTCCTGTATTTAACCCTTTTGTTAACCTTCACAAGGATCCTGTGGGGTGAAAAAGAATTCTATTTTGGCACAGACTTCTCTGGAGAGCTTTGATTTTCCTGAGAATTTAACTTTCAGGATACCAAGAGTTTAGGTAATTTTTTTACAAATCAAAATGTGTTTATTTGGCCCCACTAAATAAATGTTAGAGGGTATACTTCAGTTTTTGTCTATTTAAAACTAAATCTTCTTAATTTTCTGGATATAGAGTACCTGATGAAGCAATTAATAATGAGTAAAACAATTGTTTTCATGATTCATAAGGTAAAACAGAAACCACATTTTTTTCTTAACTATTGATTAGGCAGCAGGGCAGCTATTTTTTATCTAAATATGTAGTAATGCTGAAAGAAGAGAGGAGATGTGAACTCAACAGTCTAAGCAGGTTTATTGCTGAACCTGAGAGGGACTGCTCTGTCCTGGCCAGCAGAACAAAGGAAAGAGAGAGTAACAGGTCAAGAGGCTTTTTATGGCCAGGGCTTTGGCCGGCTCTTTGAGGGGAGGGGGCCAGAGAAAAGGTGGGCTTGTGGCTTGTTGAGGTGTCCTCTGGAGAATGCTTGTAGCCTAGGTAAGGTAACACCTAGGTCTCTCTGACATGGTGGGTGGGTTTATTCAAAAGGTGGTATTCTGTCAAATACTTCACTCTTGGTTAAGGTATTTTCACATAATTTTCCTTAAGAATAATTAAACTTGTACTTGATCTTTTGTGATCGTGGGAACTGGTTTCAACATTAGTCTTTACGTTTATAAGGAGAACTTTCAAATATACACAAAAATAAACAGAATGATATCCTTCAACAGTTATCAACCCCTGGCCAATCTTGTTCCATACCATCCTCTTCTAGTTACATCCTAAATTCCCATATTGTTTTCAATAGATCCTAAATATGTCATTCCATCTATGAATATTTTTCAGCCATGAACGTCTCTGAAAACAAGGACTCTTAAGCTCCAAAAAGCAATAATTCCTTAATATAATCAAATAAAATGACCAGTCAATATTCAAGTTTCCAGTTGTCCGATAAGTTTTATAGTTTCTATAATAATTTGTGTTGGAATCCACACATTATGTTTGGTTGATAGGTTTTTTTAAGTTTCTTTTAATCTAGGGATTCCCCCTCTGTTTTCCTGTTTTCCTTGTAACTTATTTTGTTGAAGCAATTGGGTTGTAATTCCATGTGTTTCTTTGTATTTCCTGAAAATTCAGAGCTGAACCTAGACAAGGCTCAATCAGAGTCAGGATGCCTTCCCAGTGGGCAGTGCTCTTCCATCTGGAGGCAGGTAAACCTGGTTGGCTCAAGCCGTGCTGTTAGCAGCTGTCAATGCTCAGTGCCTAGAGGAAGGTACATTCCCTCATGCACTCGTCAGGAAGGTGTATTATTTGGGAGGCAAGCTTGTCTATCTCTTACCCAAGAAAAACTCATTTCTTAGAAAAGAACTGTGGGTCTTCTAAGATTTTATATTGGCCTTTGAATTGCCAGTATTTTTAATTGACTCCTCAAATCCTCTTTGGAAAACATTGGGGTATAACTAATAGATACAAAAATAATGAGGAAGGCTAGTCACCATTTGAACATAGGAATTCCTTACAGCTAAGGAAGTTTACTAAAAAACATCTGAAGGTGAAATTTAACAAATTTGATTTTAAAAAAATTCATTTGGCTTCTTTTTTGTATTTTTGGGTTTTTGTTCTATAAAATACTCTACTCTCTCCCACCACCCCAGCTCATTTTACCTCAATATCTTTCTAAAGCAAAGACTACATACTCTAAAACAATTCAGGAATAGTAAAAATAGATTCTAAGGATATATGGATTACAAATGAGATGGTTCTTACTGTCTTCTTAAAAATGAGATTAATATTAACTCCCTTTATGTTAAATAGGTTCTTGCCTGTTCTGAAATTATAATGTTAAGTATTTCTAGAAGTGAATTATTTGGCTATTGGGAGAACAAACAGTATGAAAACCACCTTTTTAGTGGTTTGCCAAAAGTTTGTCTTTACATAAGCCAAGGTAAGAAAAACTTGGGGATTTGTTTAAAAAACATTTTATCTCTCTTCCCCTATAATGATGCTAAGAGTAAGAATGACTGAGAAAGATTGTTTTTAAAATAACTTCCTTAAAAATATATATGTATATAGAAAGAGAGAGAGATACAGATATATATGTATATGTGTGTGTGAGTGTACATGTATATATACATACATATTTCTGCAGAACTCTAAGTGATTTAATTGGTTAGATTATTTAAATATGTGTATTTCAACTGACGGTGATTCTAGTTTGATTTTAGCATAGCTAGGCATGAGGGGGAAGCCCCAGTAATAAAACCGCCTACTCTGGTTCTGGAATCAAAATCCGCTTCACCACCTCAACTGTAGTGTCCAAAACATACCGACTGTTATGTTTCCAAGCAGATACCTTCAGAGAATTTCCTGAAATGTCATCTGCCTGCCACACCCTAGAGTGACTTCTGTACGTTGTATCTTGTCGGTCTTTCAGTGAGGTGCTCGCCCAGTGTTGGTCATGGCATCAGCTTTTGTGCAGATTTGAGTTTACATTTTCAGAATGCAAACGTTTGTTTGGGGAAGCAGTAGGTAGAATGGGTGTGGTAATACCTAGCCTAGTGCCAGCACTGAGACCTTGCCCTGTGCTGAGCACTGTGCTGACTGTCCTCTGAGGTTGAGTCCGTGCTTATCCCCATTTTAATTGAGTGCCATTGCTTGCCCAGGGTCACCCAGATAAGTGGCAGACTAACTGCCCTCTGACCCTAGAAACTACCTCTTCTTTTTTTTTGACCTAGATATCTTTTATTGTATTATTATATATCACAGTTAAATATTTGGATAGGTTACTCTAGAAACCCTAAGCTATTTTGGCAGTTCTTGTAAGAAATATACACTCTAAATCTTAAGTCTATATACTCTAATTTAGAAGAGAGT